TAAAGTGTTTGTAAAACATTATAATGTCTTATTACAGGTTTTGTATGTTTCACATGGGATCCTATTATAATTATTATAGTTATTTTCGCCACGCGTATATGCGGAATATCGGTTTTATTATGTTATTTTAAATTTTACTCATTTTGTTCGCGATGATTACCGGTAGCGGTTGATGCATTAGGTCACAATATGAGAATTTAAAAAGCTTTAGACTTGCTATTTTAAATTTATTTACTTTATTCACTTAAATTGAAAATAAAGTAATACATAAATGATAAACGTATTAATGAATTTATAAGTTGAAGGAGAAGTAGATCCTATAACGATTAAAGGCATTAGCCGGATAACAAAAAGGCAAATCGGGCTTTGAATTAATTTGAGCCATTTTTACTTCAGAGGCTTCTTTTTGAGTGAAATTAAGACTGTGAATATCAGCGTGCAATTGTTGATATTTACTGAGAAAAAATATATTTTGAATTAAAAAAAAATCGAGAAATGCTGGAAAATTCATGATTTTTTTTTGAATTCATAACTCCGTTAAGATTTTTTCCTCGATTGACTAGACGAATACCTAGCTGTTGTCGATGAAAACGCGTTAGATATTAGGATGTTACTACGGCCTTATTTTAAGCTTGCTGTCAATTAGAATTACTTCGTTAATATTTGATTATTTTATATTAGTGTAAAATGAAAAAATCGTTGCTGAAATTCTTGATGGTATGATTATACGAAGAAACGATAAAGCGCATAGACTGTTGAAACTATTGATATATTTTAAAATACTATCATCAACCCAAATATTGGATTTTCCTAAAATAACTAAGACTGGTCTTATCAGTTACCAATACGAATAGGCAATAAGTATTCTAGAAACTAAAAATTTTTATTGAAAATTCGAAAAATACTTTTTCTTAGTAAATACTTCAATTACAAGATGATATTAACCTTGTTGTAATTTCACTTAGAAAGCAACATCTGGATTAAAAATTACATAAATTAAAAGACCGATTAGACAAGTACGCGCGGAATAGCACACTATCCGTTATCCATATTTTAATGAGAATATCGCCTAATTATTAAACATTAAAAATATCGTCGTATGCAAACATGATCTCTCGATACTTGCATCTATCAATACCATCGCCAATATATCGGCCAATACCGTCGATTAGTATCGATTTTTTTCTCAGTTCTACCGAATAGTTGATTCGGTCGACTTAACAGACCAATAAATACATAATTTACGGTTTGATATCTATTCGTGAAGAAAATTTTCAAATGTCTGCGTTTCATAGTTGTTTTTAAATAAAACTGTCAGTTATCAGGGGCGCACACTGAAATTTTTTAATGGGAATATTTTATCAAAAAGACCATAGAAAGTTATTTTACGGTTTTCCCTCTTCATAATTAGGCATTTCTTGACATGTTTATTGGCATTTACAAAATTTAATCGATTTAAATTCAGTGAACAGTACTAATCGAAAAATCCGAATTACTGAATGAGTCGTTATTTATATCACCGAAAAATTGGATTTATAATCTGTCAAACATTTGTTACATTTACAAATATGGAAGTTCATTTATCTGCCATATTGATTTACGCTACTGCGGGAATTCCCCGACCTAACTACTTTGAGCAAAAACAATCAACGAATAAATTATCGAGCGATTATATGGCTGCAGTCCGTATTATCGGCACCCTAGCGACACAGATTATAAGATACCGGTAAATGTCTAGATGATGGATGGGTGGGATCGAAAGAGGAGGTCTCATCCACCACTATACCATAAAAAGTTGATCATTTTGACAATTTTCATACACTATAATTTAAATAAAATTCAATAAAAAAATTATTTTCAAGCGGGTGGAGGTGGGGGATCGAAAGAGGGTGGTCACTTGAACAAAACCCGATAACCTAACCTAACCTAACCTAACCTACCCTATTGATAAAGATATTTAAATAATGTTTTAGATAACTTTCTCAATATTTTTATGTATTTTTTCATTAGTTTTACCTTTGAATATTGTTTAAGAATGACTATATAAATATTTACATGCCTAGAAATGTGTAAAAATTTGCATATTTATTAACTTTGAACCCCTATAACTTTTTATGGGGATGAGACCGCCACGAACTTTTTATGGTACAGTGGTGGGGGAGATCTCCTCTTTCGATACCCCCATCCCCACCCCCTTCGGGGGTGGGTGCCATCATCTAGACCTTTGCCAAGACACCTAATGTTAAAGTGTGTTTTACAATTTTGCTCGGATGACTTGGTATCTCCAGGGTTTGGTTTAGATGAGGTGCGAGGTATGTTACTCCCGTTGGTCTAACCCTTGTGTGCGCCACTGGTAATCAAATATAAAAGGTAGGTACCTGATCAAAAATGGTATCGTAATCGTATAGTTGTCCTGACTTGAAAGATCCTGCATGTTTAAATGTTAAAATTAAATTAGACACGTGCCTTAACAAATTGAACATCAAAAT